TTATCTTAGCGTGATGTTATATATAGACTATAGCTTTCCTAAATGAATGAGCTATCTAACACTGAAAGAATTTTTCAAATCGGACCAGTAGCTCCTGAGATTAGCGCGTTCAAACAAACAAACTCTTCAGCTTTATAATATTAGTATAAATAGTATAGATAAAAGGGCCACCCCTGCAACGTAACGCGCTTAAAGCTAACTCTAGCTATACGATCGGTAATTCGCACCATCTTGCCTATTTCTGTCGCAAAACAGAAACACGGTTATAAAATAGTGGTATAGTCGTAAAACTAAACCATTGAGACATGAACACGTCTGTCTGTCCACAGCAGTAAAGAGAACTTAATCTCAAATCCATTAATTTCATCCATTACTTTCTCTAACAATCGTTATTCAACACTGGACAAGTTCCAATGGTGTTTATAACTTATCCATTTTCAGTTCTTTTACGTCGATCATTACCTCGTTGATCTAGTGGCTGTCAACTAGGAGGGATCTCGGTCATATTCTTGTCTCGTGAGCATTGCCTCTTAAACAAAAGGAAGTTGAAAGCCAAAGGATTATTAAAAAAGGCGCAGTATTACGCATACTATGGCGATTCCATTCGAAAACGCAGCAGTAGCAAGCCCTTTTTTTTTATTCCTTAGATGGGTGGACGAGCTCACAGCCCACCTGGTGTTAAGTGGTTACTGGAGCCCATAGACATCCACAACGTAAATACGCCACCCACGTTGAGATACAAGTTCTAAGGTCTCAAGTATAGTTACAACGGCTGCCCCACCCTTCAAACCGAAACGCATTACTGCTTCACGACAGAAATAGGCAGGGTGGTGTTACCCACCCGCGCGGACTCACAAGAGGTCCTACCACCAGTAACTTTTTCGGGTCTGGAGCCAAATCGCCTAAGTGGTCCCTGTGCCTGCGTGCCAATAGTGGATCTATTGTCTAAGAACAAGCAAACCTTCGCTTTTCTGTCTTCCATTCGGATTAAAACGTGAATGCCACGAACCTCTATCGCACGATTCCGAAGTTTCTCAAAACCCAGATAATTCCTCTTATATATTATATAACGGCCATCTGGTGTAGTGGTAAGTGACATGGTCACTACACACGGGGGTCGCAGGTTCGAATCCCGCCAAGGGAAGATATTTGTATGAATAATATAAATGTCTTTTCCAGGGTTATGGATGTATATTAAATATATGTATGTGTATACTAAAAAATTTACATTTATATCCGTTATCTGGTACCTGTAACACAAGTTCTTTATGAACTTATCACGGGACCAGTTAACGTGGCATGATTGTTAGTAAATATTTATTTATTTAAATATTTATTAGTAAATATATATATCAAATTTAACTTGTATTTCGGAATTCCATGACGAAGAAACATTTTGTGCTCACACCTAATTACATCTAAATCCGTATAATCGACATCCCTACGCCCACAACGATACGGAGGCGTCCTTTCGAAATGATTCCACTGAAATTAGCTTAATAATAATCTCGGGGTACATTTTATTTGAGCACAGAAAATACATTTCAAAGGTATTCGAAAATTGTAACAGCCAAAACAAGGCTTATACTCAGAAGTTTCGAAAGTTCTCCTCTCAATCAAATATATCTGAGCTGAACTTGAAGAGGTCAAGGTTTAAATAAGGGCGCTCAGTTTATTCATATCAAGCGATGCGACTGTGCGGTTTCAAACTTTTGAGGCTGTTACCGTTTTTTTTTTCTAAAAAATGTTACCGAACGACACGATACAAAGTGTAGTCTGATTATACGTATGTAATAGGTTGGGGAAAAAGTCTTTTCGCATTATAATATGTGTGAACTTGTAATAAAATCTCTTTGGCTATAACCATTTGTATCTATCTGGCTGGTTTTGGTATCATTAAAAGTTTAAATTTTAAAGACGATAATTCGAAATTCAAATAAGTAAAATATGTGATTTTTATTTATTTTTCGTACTGTCAAGATGAGTGAATCTAATGAAGAAATTCGACATTTTTAAAAATTTTACTACAAAAAAGGTAAAAATCCAATGCAAGCCGCGAAAACAATTTGCGATGTTTATGGACCTAGTGCAGTGTTTGTGAGAGTAGCACAAATTTGGTTTAAACGTTTTGAATCCGGAAATTTTGATGTCAAAGATGCACGTCGCTCTGGTCACCCTATTACGGATAAAATGGATGCCATTTCTGAAAAAATGGAGGAAGATCAGCGTATCTGTAGTTACGACGTAGCTGAAGAACTGGGAATTGACCACAAAACAGTTTTGGGTTTGGATTTGGAGGTGTTAATGCATCCGCCGTATAGTCCTTTTTTTTTCGGGCCGGGGGCCGATCCTCCTACGAGGTCCCCGCGCATAAGAGGCGCGCGGGGTATGTGAGACTCAACGATCTGCATGGTGTTGTGAGCAGACCGCGGGCCCAAGGATTTTAGGGCCCACCCACTAAACGACTCCCCTGCACTCTTACACCCGACATCCGATCCCCTCCGAGGCCAGAACCCGGATGAGGTAGGGGGGGTTACCGCAGTCAACACTACAACCAGACAGTGCGGCTCAGCGTTTTGGTTTAAAGGGTGGGGCAGCCGTTGTAACTGTACTGAGATCTTAGAACTCATTTCTCAAGGTGGGTGGCGCATTTACGTTGTAGATGTCTATGGGCTCCAGTAACCACTTAACACCAGGTGGGCTGAGAGCTCGTCCACCCATCTAAGTAATAAAAAATAACCTCCATATACAGAGCGTTTTTATCTCTTCCAACGATTTTACTCATTACCCGAATTCAACATGCTTATGAGCAAACAGTGGTGATAGGACGCACGTGATCCCTGGAGGTAAGCTTTATACAATTTAATTGAGATTTCGTCATATTTTAGGGTAGATAGCGATTTTCATGTTGAGTTGTCCATAGGCTCTCTTCTCTTGTCCACCCAATGCTGAGTATAGAGTCTTTTCGTATGCACTCCATTCTTTTCGGTCTTTTGCCTTTCAAATCCAGTCCCCTTACTATTTATTTTGACCAGGTCGTCGGTCCACCTCATTGGATGCCGGCCTTACGATGTCCAGTACGAGGTCTCCACCTCAGTACTGTTGTACCCCACCGATTGTCAGTGCGATGGCATTTATGTGGCCGACCCAGTTCCCTTTTCTCTGAGCATTCACTGGACTAATAGATAACAACTCCACACCTCCCCTATCTATCCAATAAATAATCTTCCTGAACTCGGCACCTTTCGTACCAGAAAACAACGACCATCACGTTGTTGAAAATGGGATTACATATCCATAGAATACAAGATAAAATGCGGTTGTAAACTTTATTTCCGAAAGTCACGACCTCTCGATCCCTCGGGGTGTCGCTTTCATTCAGAAATATAATACCACTTTGTGTTCGAAAAACAGGACGCGTATAAGAAACCTTTCTTTTACTTTTTTTTTTTTTTTTTATAACAACTAAGAGGCAAACGAGCAAGACGGGTCACCTGATGGTAAGTGATTCACCGCCGCCCACGGTCACCAGCGTTTACGCCAGTGCGTTGCCTACCCTTCAGATAAGAATATGCTCTTTTCTTGAATAACCCAATGTCGCAGTTTACTTGCCAATAAGAAACATTTACTTGGCAATAAGAAAAAAATTTGAACATAATGTAAAACTTACTAAATAAAAAACAACTCACTGGTTAGATCTTAATAATAATTAGATGTAGGATAGTGGTAAAGATAGTACAATAAGCGGTCTTATCGCTAAAAGGAGAGAGAAGAGATCGCTTGCGGTCTGCCGTTCTGTCTACAGAAATTCTATAAAAGATACACCAGGTGTGTTGCGGTGTACTATTATTAACAATATTTAGAGTGGTCTATCAAGATAGACCAAGTCTTTACGCAGATTATTGAATAATGACGAAAATAGATCTATACAATCAATATATGTATGTATATTATATCTATCATTATTATATATCATTACTGGTAGTAGGACCTCTTGTGAGTCCGCACGGGAAGGTACCACCGCCCCGCCTATTTCTGCCGTGAAGCAGTAATGCGTTTCGGTTTGAAGAGTGGGGCAGCCGTTGTGACTATACTGAGACCTTAGAACTATATCTCAAGGTGTGTGGCGCATTTACGTTGTAGATGTCTATGGGCTCCAGTAATCACTTAACACCAGGTGGGCTGTGAGCTCGTCCACACATCAAAGCAATAAAAAAAAAACTACAATTGAGGTAGATAAAGCATATAACAGTAGTGGATCACATGAGAGTACGATTGAAGCTTAAAAACTTTAGCGATTGAGACTTGTAATAAAATATTATTGAACAGATTCTTATGGCGTTTTTATCACATTTAGTGAGTCACCAACATTTTGGCGTTGTTGCAAGCACCAAGATTACTGGTAGACTCAAAAATGTGGGCTGTTAAAAGCAGATAAATCTACCCACATTTTGATCCATTTTGGATGATACCGTTGGAACTCGACTACTCGCCTCGACAATATTACTTATTACATATGAGTCGACTATTATCAAAGCCGGCAATCTGACTTTTGGATAATTATTGGTAAATCAGAAAAACGAATTATTGACTTTGTATTCCATTGGCAGTCACAAAACTCTTCGGAACGACATCTTAGATAAATAACAGGTTAACTATTAACCTTTATTTAATGGGGGTTTTGAACCGTATTCTTTGAAGGAGACGATTATATTCAAATCAATCTGTATTGACATATCAATAACATTTATTTTTCCAAATGCACAGATTGCCACCTTTGATAATAGACGACTCATATATCGATATTTATATTTGAGCTCAACGAATTATTATTTTACTAAACCTAGCGACTACAGCTACAGAAATACTGGAAACTCATTAACCCTTTGAGGTCATATAGTTTAGTCTTACACTTACATTAGTCTTAGAACCGCAAAGTTAAGCGGGAACGTGGTAAGAAGAAAAAAGAGAAAGAAGAAGAAGCAGTAAAATTTCATCACCTGCTGTTAGTTGAATTGACGGAAGTGTTCGACCGACTCCGGCGGTTGCAGATGGAGTCTCCGCAGTTGACGACGCCGCCCTTGGTCGTGATGCTGAAGGTCCGCAGCCGGTACAGGTCGTCGGACGCCCGAGGGTTGTACGGCTTTTCCGGCAAAGAACAGACTCGAGGACGCGAATGTTCCACCACTGAGGACAAAATACAAATTAGTTTATTCTAAGGAAAGAAGACCTAGGAAGTGGGCGTGGCCTGCTGACGTAATACAGCAGCGACTTCAGACTGGTCGGAGTTGGAGAGGAGAGTTGAGGGCATCACTAACATGCTGCCTCTTTCACGGCCACTTTCTGATCTCGGCACCAGGGGTAGACGGACATTGTACATTCGCGTGTCAACTTAGTTATCCACATTTTGTCATTAGTATTTAAAATCAATAATTGTTGACAATTGTATTTCGTATCGTTCTATTTATATTTTTGACATGACAACGTCTTATAATTCGATGGAGCCGGCTGCAAGCACGAAAAAACATGACTCATGAGGCGTTCCATTTAAGGCTTGAAGGGCAAGCGAGAGCGCGCAACGAGCGACAAAGAGGCACAATCGGCCTCCGCATTCGGCAGCGTTCGACATCTGTCTCTCTCCTACTTGAGTGAGCGATGCATCCGCGTGGACAGCTGCAGGCAAATGGTGTGGAATGGTACGTAATAAACTCCTGTTGCGAGGAGGAGGTCACCACCCTCAATATTGAGGAAACCGAAGCAAGAAGAAAAATGTGGTGTCAATTGTTTATAGCAACGATAATTGCGATAATTGAAATATGAAACCTTTCCATCAGTATTTTCTTATGACGTTGTCACGTTCAACTATCGTCAGTAAACCGACTTTACGGATAACCGATTTTTTTTTAATATTTTGTGTCGTGATTTCTAATTATATTATATTAGTTATACTATAGTGTAAATCGCATAAACATACTCGCGGCCGCTTGGCATTTATTGTGGTTATTTTATACGTATATCTATACTAATACATAAATTTACAGTGGTTTTTACGGATGTTCCGTTATAACTACTGAACCATGCATCCGATTGATTTGAAACTTGGTATCCATGTAGAAAATACATGTACTTCATAGATAGGCTAATATTTATATGAGTATTGGACTCCCTAATAATAATGACAATAAATAATAATGTTAATTTAACATATGAAATAATATATATACTGACTCAGTGGTATAGTAGTTAGCGCTCCTGACTATTGCGCTGAGGGTCGTGGGTTCGATTCCCACATCGGGCAAAACTTTGTGTGATGAACAGGTTCGTTTGCTTTTTTCTGGCTGTTTATTATCTATATATTTATATATTTAAACATATATAAATATATTTACTTCATAACACATGGAATCCTAAATTTGGGCCGGATGACCGTGCGTGATTTGTTTCCAGTTATTATTATTATTACAGTTTTTATTATATATTTTAGTTGCAGATTTACAGATTCAGTATTATAACGAGCAGCTGTAGGCCATAGCTCGCATGGGTAAGTACCAACACACTGCATATCGCGAATCAGTCATACGTTAAGGTTTGTAGGGTGTGATAGCAAATCTATCTATATAGGTATATATAAAAATGAATTGCTGTTCGTTAGTCTCGCTAAAATTCGAGAACGGCTGGACCGATTTGGCTAACTTTGGTCTTGAATTATTTGTGAAAGTCCAGAGAAGGTTTAAAAGGTAGATAAATATGAAAATGCTCGGAATTAAACAAAAATAACAATTTTGTTTTCCCTTTGGTATCCGTCCCCCGACGGACGGATTCCTTTTGTTTGTTTTCATTTTATTTTATACAAAAGTTTAGGTTTTTTATTTATCAATTGAGGCACTACGAAGTCTGCCGGGTCAGCTAGTATACAATAAAATTAAGACCGATTTCAGCAACACCAGGAATATACTCAAGCCGCTGCCTACCGTAGAGTTATCTTTGTAAGCCCAGTTTGAAGAAAGCATTATATAGTCCTAGGTTGTATGCTCTGGTAACGAGAGATACGACATTAGAAACGAGATGATGAGATCATCTCAGAGATTGTTAGAAGCAGCGTCCAAACAGATTACTTAATCATGATATTTGAAAAAGGCATGATACCCTTAATTAGAAGTCGTCGTGGCCTAAGAGATAAGACATCCGGTGCATTCGTATTGAGCGATGCACCTGTGTTCGAATCCCAGGCGGGTAACAATTTTTCTAATGAATTACGTACTCAACAAATGTTCACGATTGACTTCCACGGTGAAGGAATAACATCGTGTAATAAAAGTGAAACCCGCAAAATTATAATTTCCGTAATTACTGGCGGTAGGACCTCTTGTGAGTCCGCGCGTGTAGGTACCACCGCCCTGCCTATTTCTGCCGTGAAGCAGCAATGCGTTTTGGTTTGAAGGGTGGAGCAGCCTTTGTAACTATACTGAGATCTTAGAACTTATATCTCAAGGTGGGTGGCGCATTTACGTTGTAGATATCCATGGGCTTCAGTAACCACTTAACACCAGGTGGGCTGTGAGCTCGTCCACACATCTAAGCAGTAAAAAATAAAAATAAAAATAATAATGTTTAAGCAAAAAATTTGATGACTCCCACGAACAACGCTTAAATTACAGCCGTACTTTTCAAGCGCAAATAAATGTCAAGTTTGTCTTCACAACTTTGTTGTCGAGCACATAAAGCTCTCTCTAGTTAGCTTGTTGAAGCCCGCAAACCAATGTTAAAGTGGTACTTGACGTTTACAACCTATTTTGTGTCGGCTTACATTGTATGTAACGTCACATGTAGGTTTACCTTCGAGTGTGTAAGTTATATACAAAAATTAGTTGTACCCGTCCGCTTCGCTGGGCATTTAAAATTAACATTATTATTTCTCACCCCCACCAAGATTATCATCATCAACGCCCCGCAACTGGTGTAGGGAGTCCAACACTCATAGAAATATTAGCCTATCCATTAAGTACATGTATTTTCTACATGGATACCAAGTTTCAAGTCAATCGGATGTATGGTTCAGTAGTTATAACGGAACATCCGTGAAAACCACTGTAGATTTATATATTAGTATAGAAGTATAGATAAATACTTACACAGCCCATGGATCTGGTGTAGGGAGTCCAACACTCATATAAATATTAGCCTATCCATTAAGTACATGTATTTTCTACATGGATACCAAGTTTCAAGTCAATCGGATGCATGGTTCAGTAGTTATAACGGAACATCCGTAAAAACCACTGTAGATTTATATATTAGTATAGATTAGTATAGAAGTATAGATAAACACTTACACAGCCCATAGATTAGGGGCATTATTCGTAACCATAGCAACGAGACATAAAAGAGAATAAAAAAATAAACAGATGTGTAATTTCATAGAGTGGCTTTTGACTCGATCGATTCACATATGTTTTTATTGAAACTGTGGGTAGTGCGATGTAAGAGCTATCTCGTTAGTTCAGAACAACGTTTATTTGATAAAAGAACATTCTGCTCTCAGTACTCCAATTTACTAATTACATATTGACTCNACCATAGCAACGAGACATAAAAGAGAATAAAAAAATAAACAGATGTGTAATTTCATAGAGTGGCTTTTGACTCGATCGATTCACATATGTTTTTATTGAAACTGTGGGTAGTGCGATGTAAGAGCTATCTCGTTAGTTCAGAACAACGTTTATTTGATAAAAGAACATTCTGCTCTCAGTACTCCAATTTACTAATTACATATTGACTCATACTTACGACATGCCACATGCTTACTAACAGAAAAAGTACTTTTTTTTATTGCTTAGATAGGTGGACGAGCTCACAGCCCACCTGATGTTAAGTGGTTACTGGAACCCATAGACATATACAACCTAAAAGCGCCACCCACCTTGAGGTTCTAAGGAGGTGGATGGTGGAGGTGGTGGGACCTCTTGTGAGTCCGCACGGGTAGGTACCACCCGGCCTATTTCTGCCGTGAAGCAGTAATGCGTTTCGGTTTGAAGTGTGTGGCAGCCGTCGTAACTATAGAACTCATATCCTCATAACCTTAGAACTCATATCTCAAGGTGGGTGGCGGCATTTACGTTGTGAATGTCTATGGGCTCAGGTAACCACTTAACACCAGGTGGACCGTGAGTTCGTCCATCCATATAAGCATTCAAAAAAAAAAAAAAAATAACAAAGGCAAATTATCTAAAAATAAAAATAAAAAATCTTACGTTACGGACGTTTTTTTCTCGGTTAGGGATGCATCGTCCCATGAGGAACTTCATTCCAAAAACTCAATTAAAACCATAATGGTTTCAGTTTTCGTAATGTCCTACAAGAATAATCTACTGAATTTCCTAGTCTAGAACAAAGTCAACATTTACCCTTACACGTTCCCTAAGAATGGAATTAATATAAAGTTTATCATCAAAGTACAACATAGGTTTAAAGTAAACATTTAGTGAGAGAGATTCAGTTTGTTACTCCTTTCAGTCTACAGATTTAGTTTGACTAGAATCGCCTGTGGTCTAAAACTATTTCGATTAGGGAAGTTATCTATCTAGTATTATTAGCTGCTTTGCCGCTACACTATCTTTATACATATCGCGACGCTTGAAAGGCAAACGTGACTAAGCGACAATAACTGCTTTGTACATAAATGCTAGGCAATAATCATATTCGATGCGCAAAAAATAAAATATTTTTAGGTCTATTAAAATCATTTCAATCCTACAGCTACTAGCTAGATTCTACTACAGCTAGATTCGTTAAAATAAATTTTGTTTTCAGGTATTTCAACTTTAAATTAGTCTACTGTAAAGTTCACGCATTGTCGCTTAGTCATGTTTGCCTTTCAAGCGTCGAATTATGTATCTATGGCACGTCTTCTTTCGAATAATATATCTAGTAGAATAATTGAGTACTTCGACAGTTTACTAATACGTAAGATTCCGGGTGTGTTCGCCTAGAGTATTACGATATTTTAAACATGCACAAAACTGTTATTTAAAAATACTAAACATCTTCCATTCTTAATGTGCACAAATCAATGGTCATGTGAAAACTCGCAATTATATTTGCACGTTCTTTATTGGCTCTCTTTCTTTGGGTAATGTTCTATTGGAATTTTGTACTTGATTCTCCTTTGTAAACCAGAATTACGAATAAAATTCGGTATAAGAAAATAATTTGTTTCACTATGTCCGGTTTTGACATTTATATTTTGAAATCACCCGCCATCTTGCCCCGGTACCCACGCGATCAACTCAACGCGATACTAGCGCTACGCGTTTGAAAAAAGGTCAGTCTCGTGAAATCATCATCAGCAGTTGGCGGTAAGCACGTATTACAAAAATACTTAAAAATAAAAAATAAAACTGAGCTATCGTACAGTACTCTACGACAGTTGCACGAATATACAGCTTATTATTTAAAAAGTGGTGACACGAACATAATAATATTTTGATTGTCATTGAATTCTCAATTTTAAGCATGAGTATGCTTGAGAGCAGTGAGGCGACTGGTGAGTTGGTCGTTTGGCACAAAAGAACGATGGGACCGCCGCGGGTTTGTTATTTAGCACAAATAGGCAGAGTACTTACCGTAGTTTTGCCGGATTTTTTATTATTACACAATATTATTCTAAAAATGGTGAGAGATAAAGCCTGCAAAGTATGTATTACTGCCTGTAGGTATAATTTGTAAACACACATAAACACAAGTATTTACGAGTATAATTACTAACGACTATTAACTATAAAAGCTACTTTTTCGATTTTAATTACACTTTTTTTTTCATTACATAATTTCCGACTCTGCGTTTACAGACGACTAAGATATTGGACCTCAGTCGTACACTGTAAAAGTAGTTTTAATTATTTCCACGGCTCGTGGAAACCACAGAAATTTATATATTTACGAGTAATTACGGTCTTCATTTATATTACTACATACATAAATATGGTTGCACTAAAATTACTTACTCGTCGGCCAGATTCAAGTACTTGATTTCTAAACTCTTTATTTTTATTCTTAAGTTAATAACATCGTCTGTGGGGACTTCACAATACAAACTCATAGATGTTACCGATTGCTCGCAGTATATTTCCATCTCTGTACCCGTTCCGTCAAACTTATCAACCCGAAACTTCGCAACCCAAAGAATAAAGCAAAAACTTTTCTAATACAAGAAAATTATGTCCGTCTCTCTTCATCGGTCATTTATTGTGTACTAACTTTTAAGTAATTGTCAACTCAATTGGGTATTCCAAGGGTATCTTTTTGATTCGATTTCACATTTACGAGCTTTGTTAGAGGTTCGTAATTTTGCCGCCGATTCAGCTGTTTTACTGCTGACATGAATTTTTACGATGAATTGACAAGAAGACCGGTGTTGTTTTGTTTTTTTTTATTGCATACTAGCTGACCCGGAAGACTTCGTAGTGCCTCAATCGATAACTAAAAGACCTAAACTTTTTTATAAAAGAAACTTAAAACAAAAAAAGGAAAAACAAAATTGTTATTTTTATTTAATTCTGAGTACTTTCATATTTATCTACCTTTTAAACATTCTCTAGACTTCCACAAATAATTCAAGACTAAAATTAGCCAAATCGGTCCAGCCGTTCTCGAGTTTTAGCGAGACTAACGAACAGCAATTCATTTATATATATATATATATACATAGTCAGGTCATAAATTCTGTCACATGTTTAATGTAAAATAATTGAAACAAGTTTATTCATTATGTAACCATTCATATACCAAAATGAACTTAATAAAACATAGATTCTTATGACACTAAAGTTTATTCAAAATGACCTCCGTGATTTTGAATACAGGCCTTCAATCTGCGCGGCCAGTCATCTATCGCAGCACGAACGAGGTCCATGTCAATATCGGCGGCTGCCTTAATCAAGGATGTCTTGAGTGACTCCAAATTGGGATGAGGCTTTGAGCACGCCTTTTCCTCCAAGTGTTGCCATATCTTGTAATCTAACGGATTCAAATCTGGACTGGAGGAGGGCCAGTCTTCGTGCCGGATGAAGTCGATTTCACGCGCCGCCAGCCAGTCTTGTGTGCTCTTCGCTCTATGAGCTGGCGCCGAATCTTGTTGGAATACCCAGTGCCTGTTATTGAACATGGTATGAGAAACAGGTTCCACAAGGTTCGTCAGGACTGTATTTTGATACACAACTGCATTCGTTTTTACACCTTTCTCACAAAAATGTACCTCTGTTAAGCCCCAATAAGAAACTCCCAACCATACCATGAGCGAGGATGGAAAATGACCTCGTTGGACACGCGGAATACGGTTGCTCGCTTCTTCACTACTGTGTGCGTACACCTTATCATTTTGTTTGTTGTAGCTCTCTTCTACGGTAAAAATTTTTTCATCCGAAAAAAGAATTTCCCGATATTTTTTTCCCGCGTACCGCTTCAACAAAGCGCGGCATCTCTTCAGTCTCAGGTCCATTAGACGAGCATTCAAACGATGTCCTGTTTTTCTTCGATATGCCCGAAGCCCTAAGTCTTCATTTAACACCCTTTTCACCGTGGTTCTGCTTAACCCCATCTGAAGGGCCAACAGTTTCTGCTTACGTTTGGGATTTCTTTGAATTCGCGCCTTCACAGCTTTTATCACTGCTGGAGTCCTAACAGACCGAGGGCGACCACTTCTTGACCTGTCATCTACACTAGAGTCTTCATTGTATCGTTTGATGGTACGATAAACGAATCTTTTGGTTATATTCAAATTTTTCAGTATGTTAAAAATTTGAATTGGCGCGTAACCGCAACGATGCAACGCAATAACTGCAACACGGTCTTCTTTAAGCGTCCACTCCATATTTAAAAATGAGTAAAATTCTAAATGTATACTATTTTTATTTTCATGAACAATTCGAAATTCGGGTTCAATAAACTTTTTTGTGGCCAGCATTCTAAAAGAAAAGTTTTTACTGTGTGACAATACTTATGACCTGACTAGGTATATATAGAAGAAGAAGAAGAAGAAGAATAAAAGAAGAAGAAGAAGAAGAAGCAGAAGATAGAAGATAGAAGAAGAAGATAGTGGTTGGTGAACTTGGGATATGAGTTTTCGTTTGTATCACTTCACTATTGTCATGTGCTTCAAACCGAAAAGCGTGGCTGCGTCGCGGTAGTAATACGTATGCAGTGCAAGCTTACAATGTGGTTAGATACCCTTTACCTAACACGTGAGAGCTTACAATACCTGCCTTCCGCATGTATTATTTTAATATATTAAAAAAATATAACAGTCTAATTCGCATTTATTAGTTTCAAGTTATTGCTTCGGACCGTACGGAAACTATTCAGTTTTTATTGTCTCGGACTACCCACCTTGTGATTTTTGTTGTTTCGACGAGTCAATGAACCTACTACGAGTCTATTCAGGTCTCAAGATAAATGATAACACTCAAGCTGTGATGTCGATGCCTGCAACCACTTAACACTAGATTAACACTATTTAGCTTTCGTCTTAAAACATCCTATGTTCTGAAATTTTATCAACGGTTTTATTATGAAAAGGCTCTTATTTATAAAGTATTAAAACTCACTCTACTTTATACCGTCTTCATTATAAGCCCGTTATAAAACCGCTTTGTGAATGACAAGAACGGATTTGTGCAACGCCCTCAGCTCAGACGCAATACATTAATTAACGTGACGTCGCCTGCCCACTTCCATTTTCTATATCTGTTGTGACATAAATAGAACTTAGTCTTAATTCTAACAAAAAATATCAAAGTTACCTGGTAATTCTAGAAAGTTAGACGTCCTCCGTTGCCTCCCACGCATCGTGTTTTGGAAATTCAGAGGCCCTATGTCTTCGACAGAATCGCAGTTCGAAATCGTGGATTCCCTTGAGCCTCTGCGACTAGCCAGATATGCTAGGCCCCCCTTCATCGACCCTCGTCTCATCGGAGAGCACGGTCTACTGATGCTAGTCGAACGGGTCTGTGGCGTGTCATCAGTCATATCGGTTAGATCGGACGTTGATTTCCGACATATCTTGGAATAGGTTGTTGTTGCCTCGTCGTCCGCGTCGTGAAGGATCGCTGATGGAGTCCCCGGCATAGCGTCTATGGAGTCATCGGTGTGGCTAGACACGATACTCGGTGACGTCACGAGCCGCGGTGAGCTCACTGTGGAAGTAGATCCATATAGTTTCCTAGTTCGATTTGGAGAGACGTAACCGGGGTTTGTGTGAATGTGCACGGGAGGCGGTTTCGGCGAGCGGGACTTTTCTCTGCGGTTGTGCTTCAGAGATGTGCTGTAATGTAGGCCGTGTGTGCGGTCTAAGCTGCTTGGACTAGAGCGATCGGAAGGACACTTCTGAGGGAAATTGAAGTGCCTCGGACTCATTGGGCTTCGATGGCCGTGCGCGATTGGGGATTTCGGTGGTTGGCTGTGCTTGTCATAGCTGCAACCGGATTGGGGAGTGTAGTATCCGGAGGAAGAGGTGCTGGATGTTATGGAAGGACTTTTTTGTGGGAAGACGAAATGGCGAGGACTTTTCGGAGTGTGAGGCTTAGGGGAGACGGGAGGATATCCACCAGGGCTGTTCACCGCCATGTTCACTGCGCGATATCCATCTCACTCTTGCTTATACCTGTAAATAATACAAACCATTTTAATTCAGTCGAATCAAGAATATTCGCCAAAACGTTTATTCGTCTTTTTATATATACTAGTGGTCCCGCAGTAGTCGAAATTCGACGATAATACTTAAAATGATTTATTTATATGTTTTATTTATATACTCAAAATATTTACTTCATACGTAAAAGGATTTGAAGCTGGCAATATTTTTCCCGCAAAAATAAAAATGCTTGTTTTTTCAATAGAGTTACTTTTTTTAAACTACTTATTGTAAACTATAGTGGCGCTTATTTGCAAGAAAGTAAATGCATATTTATTTATGACAAAATTAATGCACTAAGTATTTTTTCTATAATCTATTGTCCGCTTTGGGCCTAAAATGGGCCATCCCCTTTCATACTTCACCGGCCGCGCAATTTTCGTAAAAAGGGATACAAAGTTTTTCTTTCCCGTATTAATATATAGATTTTTTTAAACCACATGTATAAAAAACAACAGTTTCTTATTTACGATTATAGAATATGTAAATGGTTTAAATGTTTTTTTTTTTAAGATGAACGTAAAAAGCTTTCAGAAGGTTCCATTATGTAACGTAGGACAATCAACAAATGGATTTTATCGGACGGATAATAATAGCGACACAATCACGTTGGCGGTCTCCAGCCTTGTCCTCCCTAATTATCACAAATTTAACGACTCTATTTATTAGAAAATTGACTATAATCGTAATGTTTTAACCTGAATTACAAACGAAGTACGAACAGAAACAAAGAATAGAAATTGTCCACGCTCTGGACAAATAATAAGTCGGTTTATTGAAGTGATGTTATGTATTGTTATTCCGACAATACTAATTAGATAAAATATTTGAAATATAAAAAAGGCGCCAAAATCATGGTTGAGTGAAAAATGCACAGATAAAATAAAAAATGAGAGTATGTGTTCCGTTTCACGCTGTGAAGATCTTGGACAGAAACAATAGAACCGCTAATATTTAAGACCGGCAGAAAAACATTTATATTAATAATAATTATTACATAGTATAAAACAAAGTCGCGTTCTCTGTCCCTATATCTGTCTGTCCCTATGTATGCTTAAATATTTAAAACTACGCAACGGATTTTGGTGCGGTTTTTTTAATAGATAGAGTGATTGAAGAGGAAGGTTTAAATGTATAATAACACCCATTAAATAATGGAGAAATCAATAATAAATTACAGTTTCCGAAGCGAAGCGAGGGCGGGTCGCTAGTTCATATTATAAATTCGTTTAGTAATTAATAGAATTAACAATTTCGTCTTCACTGACATTTTCAAAGTACACCCATTTATTTTCAAAGATTATTCGTAGCAGGTAGGTACTTGTGAAAAAAAAAAGATTTAAAGAGTATCGAATAAGAGTACTTTTTTGTTTATAACGGAAGGCTACTTTATTTTATTTGTAGCTACTGTTAAATTAGCAATGTGTATTTATTTTATATTGCTAAGAAGGGTGCATGACCTCGCGGCCCACCTGGTGTTCAATAGTTTCCATATTCCATAGATATCGACAACGTAAATTTCGAGCCCACCTTGACAAGAGTACTCAGGAGTCTCATTTTTTACTATGCACCGGCTGCCCTATATACTTCAAGCCCAAACGCCTTACTGCTCCACAGCAGATATGGAAAGGGTGGTAACTGTATTTTCAAAGAATTCAACTATACCTCTCTCATCATAATCACATCTATACTCGACAGTAAAATGTAGATCATCTATCAAGTAAAAATACCAGAAATCAAATAATCAAGCATATAATAATAAAAGTCAAAACGTACACATCAACGGGAAACCCGTAGGAATCATTAAAGGCACGCGTCATTACCCCCGAAAGCCGACTCAAATCAGATTGATCAAAGTAATTCTGCTCTATTCATGTGTTATATGGAGGCGTTGTTATATAAATTTATACCGGACTATCGGTTATATCAATGTTTGGAGCTTAGAAGAAGTTTTAAAGAAGGCATGGTTTATTCTCGCAGGAATTCAGCAGACAACGTCTTTTCCTCTGGCATTACCGATATCCAAGCGTAGTATATATAGTAGTGTGCTAAAAATGGAAATATATCTGTCTATATAAACAAAAGTCGATTTATGTATTTCCTATAGACCCCTCGAACCGGTTGGACTGATAACCCTGGCGGGCGAAATTTGGTAGCCCATAGATCAAAATCAAATCAAAGACCAGCAAGCAAAGCGGCCAAATATTGGCCAAAGCCAAATACTTCATTACTTAGTCATATATTAATCTAAATATGCGGTATAAAATGTAACAGTAGTGTAATAGAGTGATCGTCGTATAGTGAAATTGAAAGTCTAAAGTCAAACAAAATGGCAGACCTCAAAGTACTGGTCCATACAGTTTGAAAAAACAGAACGTAAATGCCAATAAATTTTAAAAAGTATTAGTCGGTTATCAACTCTATTTATATGAGAGTTTTGAAAAAGATATAGATAAAAACTTACACCCTATTTGTCCGTGGTTACGAAAGCTGTTAAAGTATTTCGAGCGTCAGAAATAATAGATAGATAAAATTAACTTTAAAAAAAGCGTAGCTTTAGTTTTAAATCGTTGTTCGAAACTTTTTTTTTTGCTCTGATTCCGAGTCGCCTAGCGCGAAGGGGGCGTTCGGAGCTGGTAGTGGTTATCGAAGTTAAAAAAAACACTCTGGGACTGCCGCGGTAAAGCTATTGCATAGCATATTTTATCAATTATAATTGGACAATAATAATTTAATATTAAAACAATAATAAAATAAGACCACGCTATATTTATAAACATTAGCAAACAAAAGCAAAACATTAACTGTCCCCTTCACACTAATAAGCTAGACCGCGCGAGAGAGATGGGCAGACTTTTTATGATGTGCATGCAGTGCGACGTCACGCCGCGCTCTTATTCACAAACACTACACAAGCGCAACGTGTGAATGTGTTGAGCGCGAGTTACATGGTAGGCGAAGTGGAAGGTGTTAGGTTTTATTTTCGTTACGGAATTTCTTGATTCGGTCGCCGCGCTCAAAGCCCGCGATAAAAGCTATGCAATAGCTTAAAAGTATTAGCCAGTAAAGTGCTTATTTTAATGAAAACTAACCGACTCGGTATAACGAGAACGTCAGTAAAATAAATTACGTGGAAGCGGTTCACTCCACTAGCTTGAAAGTAGTTCAATGATATAATTTATGGCGTAGGCGACAGAAGCGTAATATTGTACTTACAGTAGGTAGATCGGCCTACATTTTATGCGCATTTGTCAACGTAAAATAATAAAAAAACATGTCACCTCATTTAAAATACAATAAGAGATGATGACCGGTTTTTTTTTTATAACGCCATCTTGTTGTGTCTTTAAAGCGGTTAGTTGCCCTCAATTAAGAAAAATAGTATTATTATTCGCCAATACATGTCGGGAAGAGTTTATTATTGAAAACACGAATAAAACAACATTTTCTGAAAATAAATCGTAGCTAGATCGATTTATCGCCCCCGAAATCCCCTGTATACTAAATTTTATGAAAATCGTTGGAGCGGTTTCCGAGATTCAGATTATATATATATATATATATATATATATATATACAAGAATTGCTCGTTTAAAGGTATAAGATAAGATAAGATATTTTTCAAACGATTTTATTGTGTTTATGAGTTCACGTTCCACAATGTAGGCAGTAGTGGGCAGTTCGAAAGTCAATGACCTGTAAATACAGGGGAAAAACGTCTTCATCGACTGAACTACATATAGAAAATACTTATCGCTTCGACATCTCGTGTTTTGTGAACCCGTAATCTACAGTAAGGGTTGGCGGGCGACGATCGAGTCGTATGTGCTTATTACATTGCGCGCAGTAGAATAGTACATTATCTAACAATTTAACTGTTTTTTAATTTTTAAATGAACTACTACTAATTGAATAAGAACTGTCTGATGAACTGATCTTTGTTTAATACTTCACTATTAAATTTTATTGCCTTTTGTTTATTTCACTTTTACATTAAACACAATATTGCAAATTACTCGAGCACAACAATGGCGGAGAATTTTAGGTGCGTGAGAGCAGACGTAGACACTAACGCGCATGCGCATTTGTACCCAGGGAGAAAAAGTAACACTTTCTTCCCTGTACAGCGGGACGAAAACCGAACTTTCGGCGTAGGTAGGAGAAAAAAATATTGACGAAACATCTTATCTGAGGACTTTTTGGCGGGAACGCGAGGAGTGAAGTTGTGTGATTTGTTTTATTTTGTTTATTTAGTGTTTCTTCGGGTTTAAATGTGTAATAATGGTGGTTTATTAACTGTTTAACATCTGTGAAAGTGCACAAATGTGGGAAAATGAAACAAAGCCGCTGGACGTAACTTCTCGGGATCCTCCAAAAAGTCCATTGAAATAATCTTAGTAAATGACCACCATTTTACTGAGATTATATTTCATCCCATTTCATTTCATTTAATTTCATCCCAGTTGATTAATGTCTCAAATTAATCATCTTCATTTCATTTCACTCAATAATATAATTTTTCATAAAAAATTAATATAAATTAAAATAAGACATGACTTAAAGGTCTCAGTTACCAGGTCATAAAATCCCTTAAAAAACATCTTTTCTGAATCCAAACACATATAAGTCTCTTCGTTTCAGTAATGGATTTGTTTACCTACATAACGCATATAGAGCATAACGGTCCCATGTCCGGTGCTAACCGGGACGCATACTTGCTACGTAGCGGTAATAGATGGGATGGTATTCCTCAACCGTGCAGGATCACAATATGTCACCTACCACTAAATGCTGGCCAGCATTTGCAGTATTCTGATACGCTACTAAGAACGCTACCACACAATCACCGGTGAATTACTTAGTTTCGCTTTCAACGAAAACCAAGCAAAAAATGAGGTCGAACTATTTACTCTAGACCAACACACTCGCAGCC